GATGATGGATAGATGATGGATGGATGGATGGATGGATGGATGGATGGATGGATGGATGGATGAATGATGGATGATGAATGGATGAATTGATGGATGGATGGATGGATGGATGGATGGATGGATGGATGAATGATGGATGATGGATGGATGAATTGATGGATGGATGGATGGATGGATGGATGGATGGATGGATGAATGATGGATGATGGATGGATGAATTGATGGATGGATGGATGGATGGATGGATGGATGGATAATTGATGTATGGAAGGATGGATGGATGGTGGATGGACTGATGATGGATGGATTGATGATGGATGGATGGATGGATGGATGGATGGATTGATGATGGAAGGATGGATGGATTGATGATGGATGGATGGATGGATGGATGGATGGATGGATGGATGGATGGATGAAACAATGCATGTATGAAATGATGCATGGATGGATGGATGGATGGATGGATGGATGGATTGATGATGGATGAATGGATGGATGGATTGATGATGGATGAATGGATGAATTGATGATGGATGGATGGATGGATGGATGAAACGATGCATGTATGAAATGATGCATGGATGGATGATGGATGGATGGATGGATGGATTGATAATGGATGGATGGATGGATGATGGATGGATGGATTGATGGATGGATGGATGGATGGAAGGATGGATGGATGGATGGATGGATGGATGGATGGATGGATGGATGGATGGATGGATGGATATATAAATGACATGAAACGTCACACAGGCACATGCAGACATGTAGTTACACACCTGTGTGCTCATATTTATGTCGGAGCAATGAGCTGCTCTTCTGAAAGGTTTTTTCACAAATGTCACAGGCGTACAGTCCTTCCTCTGTTTTCTTTAGCCTCTTTCTTCCTGGCCCTCCCTCCACCTCAAATCCATCATCAGCGAAAGTGAGGTAGTCCAGAGCACCATGTTTTAAAGCCTCGCCCTGTGTGGAAAAACAGTTCTTACATTAATTATCATTCATCTTTAGAGTTGTACTTCCATTTAAATTTCTTATCATTTTCATGTAATTAGTGCTAAATTGTTTTTATGGCATGCTCCATGCTTGTATATTTTATTTAAATATTAACAAAGTCATACCATAAGATTTTGTCTCTCCTTGTAGAACTTTTTCAGCACGGCCTCTGTGTCTGCATCCATCATGTAAGCCACAGGAGGTAGAAACCCGGGGCTTTTAGGCGTCTGGCTGAAAGAAGTTGGTAACATTCCATCATGAACTGAAAGCCCGACTCCAGATTGGCTAAAAATGGGAAAGCCATTGTAAACAGAGCCTGGAAAGACTGGCGCTCCAGTCCCACTGAACACTGGGTACTGGTGCAGGGGAAGGTGGGATGTTGGACTTGGTCTACCAAGCGGTTGGATCCTGAGGTCTCTTCGGTCTTCCCTTCCTGAGATCCCATTGGGAATTTTGCTCCTCTCTGTTTGCTTTGAGTGATGCTTAGGCATAGATAGGTCCAGAGGTTCGTTCTGTGCAGACCAGGGACTCCCATGTTCTCTCTGGGCCAAGGAGATTTCAGGTGAACAGCTGGAGACGTTGAGGCGGACGGGTGAACTTAATCCTGAGGAGGAAACTCTTCCTCTGCTCCGAGGTGAGGGCATTTCTGGGGAATGGTGCATCAGCTGAGCAGGGCTACCCTTTTCTTGGCTGGAGAAGTACATCCGTGAATGCAGTGCATCATTGTGGGGTGGAGGAGACTGCATTGCAACTAAAAGCTGTTGTGGTACAGACTGCCAGCTGAGCTTTGGTACTGATGAGAGCTCGTTGGTGACTTCGCATACGTTGGTGTTTTCCAGTTGGTGAGCAGATCTTGGATAAAACAAAGGCGGTGAGGCTGGAGCTTTCCGTTGAAAACCCTCCGACGCCTCGGCGGCTTCTCGGCTGACCTTGCAAAGACTGCGCTCATGTTGCAGGAGCACTGCCACGTTTGGGAAGAGCTGCGAGCACCAGCGGCACGTCAGCTTGAGAACATCTTGATCCGCGTCGCTCGATCTCACCGCTTCTCTTCTTCTGCCGGGGGACGCCTTCCTCTCGGCTGCACCGTCATTGTTAACCCTTCTTTCTTCGACGCCAGCCCTGTCTACCTCTTCCTCCACCTTTCCATCCCTGTGAAACATCTCCTGAAGCATCTGCTCAATTTTGGTCCCAGGGTGGAGATACGGCATCAGGGCTGTCCCTTTCAGGATGCTGGCCTTCAGGGAGAGCTCCGGTGAACAGTCCCACAGCCGGGACAGGTCAGACGTGCCGGGGAGGCTTGTGGCATTCTGGTTGACGTCTTGCATTGACAGCTGGTACGAATCTGCTGGTATTTGACCCAAAAACCTGATCAAATCCTGACTTTGAGAAGGAAACACAGCACCCTTGTCATTACTGGATCGGCCTCTGCCAGCAGAGGGAGACGTAGAGAGCAAGTGGTGGAAGGAGATTTGACTGTGTCCGTTAATCGCTCCGCCGGCGCTTCCTCCCTCCACATGTCCTCCACCGCTCAGGCACTTTTTACTGCTTAAATGAGAGCTGTAGGAGCCGGAGTGAGAGAACCGTTTCTTGCAGTTGGAGCACTCGTAGGGCTTCTCACCTAAAACGATGAAACACAGAAAGCAGACTCTGACTAAACTCTTCCAAGGGCACATTAAAAATACCTTCATCATGGGTGTGATGTTTATTCCACAATTATCTTGTCTAGTAATGAATTATGTCAACTTTTTTTTCCATCGACAGATCCATTTGGTTATAATTTCACACCATATAATCAGACAGTAAGTAAAGGTTAGTGGTACTCTGGGAACAATGGTGAAATGGGGGGTGAGCACAGCTGTTTTGATCTTATTTTGTATCTCACCACTGTGGATGCGAAGATGCTCTTTGAGGTGGTGTTTGTACTTGAACGCTTTCCCACACTCCAGACATTTGAACTTCCTGGCCTCCATTCCTGGATCCAAAGTGATGCCACTCTAGAATAACAGGAAAAGGCAATCAGTTTCATACGACAAAACATTAAAGGCAGAGTTTCAGGCTGTGCAGAAAAAAAAACAACAACAGCATTCACATCAGGGACATCTGTCTCTACCTTCACGAATCTCTTTATAAAAAGGCAGGAAAATGTCCTAATATAAATAAAACACATCAAACATGCACTTAATTTTGTACCTTTTCCACCTGTACCGATTGAACAGATGCAATCATCTTTGTCTGCTTTAAACTGTTTTCAAAATGACAATATGTATGATCATTTGTTCATTTAAAACTGAATATTTAACAAAGTTTTTAAGAATGATAGATTTTGTTTCTCACCTTTTCCTGAATTTGGCTGTGAAGTGCTAGGTGCCGCTCCATCTGCGACCTGAGGGGGGCAGTGTATCCACAGAGAGGACAGACCAGGGGCCCTCCCTCCCTCTCCTGACAGTATCTGACATGGTCCCTCAGCGAAGCTCCTCGCTCAAACATTCGGTGGCAGAACGGACAGGCCTGCTGCTGGCTCCTGACTGCATCTGGAGTCCAGAGAGAAGTGGAATTCAAACAACATGATTTACGGTTCTTACATGCTTGTGAAATATATTCATTTATCAGTTACTTTTTTAAAATAATCATATACTTATAGCAAAGCCTCAGAAATATATTTAATAATAAACTGCAAATCACAGGACTGCAGTTTTGCTCAGTTTATTGCTGCCACATTATTAGACATTTGCTACATTATTGTTGGTCAAAACTCACTGCATTACTAATAATTTGTTATTTTAAAACCTCAAATAAAAATATTGTAAAGATACATTGCTATTAGATTGATTTGCAATATTTTTTATTATTATTATTTTTATTTTATCAGCTGAAATTTTTGTTACAATATAATTCATCATCAACAAAATACTGCAACAGCTCTATACAGTTTTGGCAAAATACATAACATTAATATTATGTACTGGTGATTTTTTTAATTGATTGAAATCTACAGCTCAATGAGGCGATAACTCATTTCTTTTGTATTTGTTTTGTTTTATCTTAGAGTTCAGGTTTACTGCTGACAAACAGCAGAGCTGCAGAGATTCTGCTCAGAGTTGACTGTCGCCACATTCGATGATTCCAGTTAAATTCAGGCTGAAATACCAGATATGACTAATATATTTATTATCTGTCAACAGTTGTTGGGGCAAGTGTATTTTAATTAGGTTATGTCTCACTGGGCTGTGGCTTTCGGTGACTAATTCTGAGAAGTATGCTAATTTTTCCGCTGAAGTCTCACTGAATTTTGTGATTTCGTGACCAGTGTGCGCACATTTTGAGTGGACAGAGTTTGAAAAATCACAACTTATTTATGTGTGCATAGCTTTAAAAAAAACTTTCCGAATCCTTGCACATTGATGCATTGCTCACATCGTTCCTGCATCAATCTGCTTTGTGGTTCCCAAGTTTGCTGGTTTTACATCGGATGTTCGTCTTTACGCAAACTGAGCTCAAACTTACAGTCTCAGGATTACGAGACTTCAGCACAGTCCACCGAGCTGCCGCAGCCTGATTTAAAGTACATTTAAGAAATGAAGACAGGCAGACTTACTGGAGAGGTAGGTGTAATCTGTCATATCAATCCAGTAAAAGGGACAAAACTGGATTATACTTTTTAATAGGACTAAAATGTTAGCTGGTGTTAGCATCTTTGCTCTTAAACAACGCAGCAAAACATTTATTAACCTCAGCTGTAATATATTGTTATGATGCAAAGATTCTTTCACGTTTAAGACATTTTTTAACATTTTTGAGCTCTGGTCTGCCAGCTGATTCTGCTCGTATCAAATGTGACACAGTGAAAACCCAACGCTTCATTCAGTCCCCTTCTAAGTTTCATTCAGATTTCTATGAAAAGTCCCCCAACGTGGTTCACTAATAAACCATTTTGACAGGTCAGATTAACAGTGAGGGACAGAAGGGCCGAGGTTTATTTGATCTGATGGAGCGGGGGCGGTTCTCTCTGCTTCCCCGTTCACAAAAACCACACTGTCAAATAAACAGATAGCCTCGCCTCTGATCTAAATGTTCTCCTATTTCAACACACAAGCTGCGCATTGAAATAAACACTAAATTAACCCAAGATACAGGTGAGCAAACTGAACAGAACTGAACTTATGTCGGATTTATTTTTTAAAGGCATTGCTAATTTGTCATTCTTTTCAAACGGTTTTAGATGCATTAAAAACACGAGTCATCAAAGCAGATGCATGAATTTGAAAGTAAATTTGACTCAGATTTGGTAAATGTTTGACTTGTTTACATTTCCTGGAGCTGCTAAAGCCTCTTCATGGTAAACCATTATTAAATTAACAACCTGATATGCGCAAAACCACCAATTTGCTTTCCGTTTTCTCAGCACAACATTAGCATATGAAATCAGATTACGCATTATCACATACATTTGCTATCAGGCTGTAAGTGTGCAACTCCCACGAGCAACTTTAAAAAACACAGAACAACCGACGATTTTATTTTGAAAGGTTTTTCGTGCCGTTCTGGATATATTTGCCCACCTGCTCGGTCTGACGAGCAGCGCTGAGCTCCTGGTGACCAGATGGCAGCAGGCAGGTCGTCGTGCCTGCTGCTCGGACGGTACACAGCCGACGTGCCGTTGTGGTTCAGGTGGTCCAAGAGATGAACCGAAGGGGAGTTGTTTCTCAAGTTAGCCACAAATTCGTAGTGGGCGAGATCCTCTAAAGCATTCTGCGGGTCTGGGTTGTTACCTGTCACAGAGAAGAAGAAAATATAGATGGAACTGAAACATTTCTAAATGGAAATGGGTGTATGTGGTGCTAAAATTCTATTTTTTGCATACACTCAGTCTTATTGGTGATATTAAGAGGATGAGCAATGCTGTGACTGTCTTTGTGTGCATATATATGAACTTAGAACAAAAGAGTAAGAAAATTTGTGTTTGGTTGATTGTTTCTTTGTTGTGACAAAGCTCCTTGGTAATAAATCTTACAGCCGGCACCTGATTGGATGAACCTGAGGGGACCAGGAGCTCAAAACAAGAGACAGTAACAACAGCAAAATAAGCTGTTTGGCAGACAAGATTTGGCAAATTTGCAGAATTTATGCACTCAGCTCTGCTGCTCGTCCCACTAATGCATGTTCCTTACAAATGTGGCACCATTTAAAAGGGAAATTAACAGACCTTCCAACTATATAAGATTTATTGCCAAGAAGCGTTGCTACAACAAACAAAAAAAACCTACCAAACACAAACTTCCTTCTTTTTTGTGCTAATACATTCAGCGGGTAAAATAAGTATTGAACATGTCAACATTTTTCTCAGTAAATATATTACTAGAGGTGCTAATGACATGAAATTTTCACCAGATGTCGGTAACAACCCAAGTGATCCATACATACAAAGAAATCAAACCATAAATGTCCAGAAATTAAGTTATTTGTAATAATGTGGAATGGCACAGGGGAAAAAGCATTGAACACATGAAGAAAGGGAGGTGAAAAAGGCATGGAAAGACAAGACACCAGCTGAACTCTCTCAGTAATTAGAAAGCAAGCCTGCCCCTTGTCAGTGCAAGTTAATATCAGCTGGTTCAGTCCCAAATGATGGCCAGGTATCACACAAGAACCATCTGATGATGGGTAAAAGTAAAGAGCTCTCTCAAGACCTTCACAACCTTATTGTTGCAAAGCATAATGATGGCATCGGTTACAGAAGAATGTCTAAACTTCTGAAGGTTCCAGTGAGCACTGTTGGGGCCATAATTCAGAAGTGGAAAGAACATYATTTCACCATAAACCGACCGCGACCAGGTGCTCCTCACAAGATTTCTGACAGAGGAGTGAAAAGAATTATCAGAAGAGTTGTCCAAGAGCCAAGGACCACTTGTGGAGAGCTTCAGAAAGACCTGGAATTAGCAGGTACGATTGTTTCAAAGAAAACAATAAGTAATGCACTGAACCACCATGGCCTGTATGCACGCTCACCACGCAAGACTCCACTGCTGAAGAAACAGCATGTTGAAGCTCCTTTAAAGTTTGCTGCACAACATTTAAACAAGCCTGTGTAATACTGGGAGAATATAGTCTGGTCAGATGAGACCAACACTGAACTGTTTGGATGCCAGAATACACATCATGTTTGGAGGTCAAATGGCACTGCACATCAGCCCAAAAACACCATACCAACAGTGAAGTTTGGAGGTGGGAACATCATGGTGTGGGGCTGTTTTTCAGCATATGGTACTGGCAAACTTCAAATAATTGAAGGAAGGATGAGTGGAAAAATGTACAGAGACATTCTTGATAAAAATCTGCTTCCATCTACCAGGATGATGAAGATGAAACGTGGCTGGACATTTCAGCAAGACAATGAGCCCAAACACAAAGCCAAGGAAACTCTCAGTTGGTTTCAGAGAAAGAAACTAAAGCTGCTGGAATGGCCCAGCCAATCACCTGACCTGAATCCAACAGAAAATCTATGGAAAGAACTAAAGATCAGAGTTCATAGAAGAGGTCCACGAAACCTTCAAGATTTGAAGACTGTTTGTGTGGAAGAATGGGCCAAAATCACACCTGAGCAATGCATGCCACTAGTTTCTCCATACAGGAGGCGTCTTGAAGCTGTCATTGACAACAAAGGCTTTTGTACAAAGTATTAGATAAATTTCAGTAAGTGTGTTCAAAACTTTTTCCCTGTGCCATTCCACATTATTACAAATAACTTCATTTCTGGACATTTATGGTTTGATTTCTTTGTATGTATGGATCACTTGGGTTGTTACCGACATCTGGTGAAAATTTCATGTCATTAGYACCTCTAGTAATATATTTACTGAGAAAAATGGTGACGTGTTMAATACTTATTTTACCCGCTGTACATACATACATACATACATACATACATACATACATACATATATACATACATAGTATGTATAAATGTATGCATGTTTCTGTTAGCAGCGTGACTCAGTGGATGGCTTTATATGAAACTCTCAAAAATCACATTAACATTTACAGGTGATGACATTTTAGAGTCATTATGATTCAAGATGGCTGCCACAGCCTCTGCAAACACATAAAATCTTTAAATCAGTCAGATTCACAAATGTCAAGATAAGTGTTTGTTTGGTAGTAGCTGAGAGTCATCCCCTTCATTTACCATGAGCACTAACTAATAAAACAGGATCTATGATTAAAAGATTTGCATGAAAACAGAAACTCTCGTATTTTTTTTTCTTTTTCATTTGTGTTTTTCAGCTGCAAATCTTACCATACCAACTTTATTTGTAAAGCACTTTAAACACCGACAGGACCAAAGTGCTGCACACAATCACAAAATACAATACAATCATAAAGTAGAAAAATAAAAAGTAGTAATCAAATAAAACACAAAAGAAAACAATAAAACAAAGCCAAACTAGGGTTGGGCATAATCGTTTCATGTGCAATTAATCGCCAGAAAAACACTAATCAATTACTTTTTGGCACGTGACGATTAATACGAATAATGCCACCAGGCAGAGTCCACTCGGTGCTCCTCTCCGCTTCAAATATGACAAACATAAAAAAAGTTCTGTAATTTATTTATCTACCAACACAATTAAAAATTTGATATATAGCCTGAAGTCTGCAATTTTGACACAATTTGGAACATATTTTTACGAAGAGCAAATCTTTCCTACTAAATTGGTCATGTGACCAGGACATAAAGATGTCCAGGGACTCCAGGAGATTAATCGTCAAATTAATCGTTATCGGCTAAATACATAATTAATCGTGATTAATTTTTTTGCCCATATTGCCCAACCCTAAGTCAAATTGTGACAAAAGCCAAAGAAAAAAAGATGGGTCTTAAGAAGAGGTTTAAAAACTACAAGGGAAGAGACCTGTCTTATGTCTTAAAGGAAGGTCATTCCATTTAGGAGCTGCCAAACTTGTCAAAGTAAAAGTGGGGGCTATATATAACTTAGCAGGAAAGCTAATCAAAACACAAGTCTGCCGTAAAAAAAACAGCCAAGGAAAAATATTACTTTATCTGCAAAAAATAAAATAAAATAAAATAAACAACACTTTTGATCTGCTGCAATGATTAGGCAATATTTGTATAAGGTTTCAGATTCATATATAAAAGCTGGGACTTCTTTAATATTGCACATGGTGATCAGCTTTCTGTCAGTCAGTTTGCCGCTACATTTTCAACACCACTTGTGAGATTATTAATTTCACGTTTGGTCGCTTTACGTGAGAACAAACTTTTTTTGGTGTAACTACTTGTGTGTTGTTTTGTAATTTTTGTCTTAAAACAGGTCTCTCTTGGAAATGCGATTCTGAATCTCAATGAGACTACCTGTATAAATAAAGGTCAAATAAAAAAAAAATAAAATTTGTTCATATGTGAAGTATGCGAGCAGAGAGAAGGGGGAAAAAAGACTCAGAGCTGCTATTGGGACTAAATTGTTTACATAAGAGCAACAGATGAAACAATAAATTTAAGGAGCCACTATGTCTGATCTCTAGACGGCGGGGGGGGGGGAACGACACAGCCACCGATGGACGTATAGAAGAGCAGGCGCCTCCCATCGCAGCTCAAACCAATCAGCTTTGCTTACAGTCACTTTGAGGAAGATTTTTCAAATGTTTGCAGATGTTGGCATATTTGGAGCTGGTTTTAATGTGGTGAAGAGAAGAGCCCGTGTGGTGGAGTGTTGTAAAAACTCCCGCTTTCCCTTCATCAGGCGAGTCCAAATCACACGAGGCGAGGGAGCTAAGTGATTGTTAGTAGGCAGAGCCGCGCAGGGCTTTGATCTCTGCTAAATAAAAGAGAAAGCCTCGCATTGCGCAGCGCTGATTTCAGTACTGTAACGTCACCTCTTTGATGCATGGAAATATTGTGACTTTGTGTGGGATGAGTTCTTTTGTCATGCTTTCAGAAAGCAAAGCTTTTCAAAGAGAAAAGTGAAAAAGGGAACAGCGTGTAGGGAAGGTTTCACTAGGAGTTGATACGAAGGTGTATCTACAGGGCTGCAGCACTGAAGCATCAGGAGAAAAGGTGGCTTGTTGCGTCAGAAAAAAAACCACTATCAGCTTGTTTACACATGTTGCAGCCACCTCGAGTTTCTGACTTACAGCACATTCTCAGCGGCTCCTGCTCTCTGTCCCTGTCAGTGGATACGTAGGCGGCGTCCTCCTCGGTCTTGGCCCTTGACTCCACCGGGCCCCAGCAGTTCCTGCTGCCAGGGCTGAGGCTGTGGGGCCGCGTGGAGTGGGCGGGGCTGCTGGGATCCTCCGTGGCCTCGCTGGGCGTCAGGCTCGTCTTGTCCAGGCTCTCCTGGCAGTCCTGGGGCTCAAAGCTCCACAGACCAGCCTCATCCTCTTCTTCAGATCCCAGCAAGCTCACCACCTCCGCATCCACTGCGAGCAGGGAAACACCAGGCTTAGACAACAAAATAAACAAACCTCAGATGTGAGAATATTTTTTAACATATGCAAATATCAAAAAGGGGGATGGGCAAGATTGAATGTATCTTTTTTTTTGGTGGTGATGGGGGGTAAAATTTTAAAATCACAAAATTACCTAAAAATTAATGTTTAAGCATCTTTAAAAAAATTATCTATTTTTAATCTATTGTCATTCACCTGTTTAAAACAAATTTTCTTTTTACTTTTGCTGTTTTATGTTCCCTCACCGATTCTCGTGATTCTGTTTTTTTTTTTTTTCTGAACTTTTCGGAATGACACCAAAATGTTCTCGAATCTAGAAATCATCTAAAATAGGAACTTTCCCATAACTCAAAAAACACATTATTTACTTGAGCTGAGCTGCAACACAGTAGACAAATACATTAGGAACTGAAACCAACCTCCCACTACAAATAGCTTAATTTAGAAATGTTTTATAAATTCTAGAAATAGTTTTTCTTAGTTCTTTAAAGTAAAATAATTCAATATTTTACTAAAACTTGTTTGGTTGTATTTATTTTGTATTATTTTTTATATTGTTTTATCCCTTTGAATATTAAGAAAAAATGCTGCTTTATAGGATTTTGTTTAATTTGATTGTAACTGTGCTAATATGACTTAATGAACAGAATCTAATTAATACAAGAACATTTATAATAAGTTGGGGGAAATTAAGATCATACTTAAAAAGCAGATAATAACCTTTTAAAATAATGGTTATAACTTAAGTTTTTTTAAGTTTTCATGAATGACTATAATTATACTTCCTGTCAACATTTTTTTTTATTTCTTCTTTACTTTTTTAAAAACATAAAATAAATAATGTATAATTTAGGACGTAAAATGCAGTGAGCCTCTGAAAGGAATAAAACAGCAGAGAGAAACAATCGCAACATGTTGCCTCTCTGCTCAGCTCACTGTAACAAAAAGGCACTTTAATTTTTTTCCCATGTCAAAAACAATAAATGACAGTCGTAAACACATGCCCAGGATTTCTGTTACGCTCTTTTTTTTTTATTTTTTCCTCCTAAAACTTTGTTTTCCAGCTTTACTCTCACTGATTGGCTAAATCAAATCCCAACCAAGTAATGAGCATTTAAGAACACAGACTGTTTGAGATGTGCCACCAGAGAAAGTCACTTAGACAGCGCCAACACACTGAGCTGTATCCCACCCCACCTTTTTTGTCTTTGGGAAAATAACATTTCTGATTTACACTAAGTTTAAATCAGGCAGAAATATGATACTTTTATAATCCCTATTTTTCTTTTTGACCTTAAAACAGCTCCAAGTTTTCTCTTCTTGTACAGTCACATAGAAAAACAAGAGTTTACTCATCTTTTTATTAAAAAAAGGTAAAATTATTCAAATGTCAACACATAAAATCATCAGTTACCTTTATGAGAATTTCTTTATCTCCATGCCCTGTCTGACTTTTGACTCACGTACTAGTTTATGACCCACATCACCAAAAAAAGTCAGTCCTGATGCACTACACACAGTGTCTCCTCAACTTTACATCTAAAAGAAAAAAAAACACACAACATGCACACTCAGTCTGATAGTGAAAGACCAATAGGGGTCCTGGTGCAACTGAGGGGGCAGCCCACAATCACAAACAGAAGATGTTTCGCATGTCAGCGTGTGCGAGCGCTCTTCTGCTTTGCTAATCTAAACATTTCCTCCTACACATGTATCGGTTTGTATCAGCGACCTGCCCTGGCCCATCACCATTAAACCCAGTACACTCGGTGCAAAGTTCTGATTCATCCCAGGCCAGTCAACCAAAGCCAGCGCCACTAAATCGTACCGGCAAAAAGGAAACCTGGACCTCATCTCTTGGGGGGGATTGAAATTGGTCATCAAAATGTGCTGTGATGTCCACCCGTAAGCCCTGCAGGACATTCCTGGGACGATAGGACATACTGCTGGAACATAAGAGGGAAATCTGTTCTGGATTAGCCCCAAATTGGCTTTAATTTTTTTTTCTTTCATGACAGTGAGTGACACTGAGTCTAAGCGCTGTCATTAAACAGCACAAAGCTGGGATGGCTTTCATTATCTGCTACGTTGGTTTATTTGGATAACTCTCGCATCCCTCGAGTAGTTGGACCAGGACAGCTGAGTCACTGAAGAAGCAAAGAGCTCTCTGGGACGGCCTGTGTGCGAGTTTTTTTTCTTTTTTTAAAAAAGGGACGAACCTGAAAGAATTTTAAGGGTAACTTGTTGAAATTTAGAGCAGACAAAAACAGAGTGCTGCTGCTGCTGATGTGTGTGTGAGTGTGTGTGTGTGTGGGAAGATTATGACTCATTTCCAAAGAGTAATAACTGAAGTGTGCTGCATCATGCTTGATAATGTCGATCACTCCCGTCTCTGACGGCTGTTCAGACTGACAACAACAGATTAAACTGTTTTAATCCAACTGCTGACAGGAAGCAAACAAATGAAAAGACTGACGGGCCTGCCTGCCAGAAACAGGTCTGCTGTGTGTGTGTGTGTGTGTGTGTGTGTGTGTGTGTGTGTGTGTGTGTGTGTGTGTGTGTGTG